AGCCATCGGCTGAAGGGCCACTGCCATCCCAAGAGAGCCTTTGCCCAGTGACTGCAAACCAGAACAAGAAGCCATCTCTTCCCTCAGCTTTGCCCTCAGCTCACAAGCCCACTCCCATTCTTGGGACCACTTTCCCTGTCTTAACAACTCTATTTCTAGATCCTTAAAAAAAAATCCTATGGGCAGACGTCCCAACAGACATCTTTAGCTCAGGCATTGGCTCAGCCTGTGTTGCCTCCACCTGAGTTTATGCTGAGCCCGTGCGTGCCACGGCTCATCTCCTACATGCTCCTCTTCTGGGTAATTCCCGTGTCTCCTTCGTTACAGTCAGGACACAGAGAGGGTGCTTGGCCAGGGTCCCACAGTCCTCCTCCTCTCCAGCCATACCTCCCACAGAATCCCCAGCTACCACTTAAACCCTGCTAAGTCCGCCTAGAAAAAGGCCAGGTCAGCAGGGGGTGTATGGGGCCCATTCCAATTCAAAAGGTGGCCCCGGCCCCGGCACACTGGAGTAGCAGTGGTTCGTTCTTCTTTTATCTTTCTTGAATCTTCTCCAGGTTGCCTCTCACCCTATGACCTCAGGACAGCCGGTCCCCTCTCAAGTGCAGCTTCCTCACCTTGGAAATGGGGTGATGGCAGAGACTCCCTCCACAGGAGCCAAGCTACAGCAGGTGCCACAGGTGCAGGGCCATGGGGCCCATGGCACACTGTGTGCAGAGTTCTATGGGTAACACCTGCCCCGACCCAAAGCCACACCTACAAAGCTCCCAGAGGCCAGCCCTGAGAAGTACCAACTTCTCAGACACTCAGCCCAAACCTCTGCTCCAGCCTCAACTCCCACAGGCCCCTCCAAAATGCCCAGCATTCCTCCTCCATCCAGCCCCTCCCAGACTCAGGTCTGCCCAGGGGCCAAGACCACTCACAGACCCTTCCCCTGGGTTTAGCTCTTGTGTCTGCGACCCTTTCCTTGGTCCATCTCAGCCAGGCAGCCATATGTGCCAACCTGGCAGACACAAGGACATACCGGCATCCCGAGGACAGGTCTGGGTGGGTCTCTGTTCTGTGCAGAGCCTGAACTCGGGTACATCCTGCCACTTGTGGTGGAGGGCACAATACCACCCCTCCAAACCTGTGTCCCAGGCAGTGCCCTGAGACTTGCCGCTTAGGCACACTTCAGGGGTAAACAGAAGGAATGGGCACTGAGCACTCCTTCCGATCTGCAGCACTGGACCAGGAAGGACCCCTACACCATCTCTCAGACAATGGAGCCCAACACCCAGGCGTGAGGCCGAAAAAAATACTCTGTCAAAACAGAGACAAAGGCAAGCAGCAAGATGTGGACCCCGGCCCCCCAGAACTCACACTGGTTGGTGAAGCCCACTGCCTATTTAAGAAGGGCCCTGTGTCGCCATCCAGGGAACAGGAGAAGTCCCACCCCTGTGAGAAGCAGTGGGCCTCTAGATGGCTGCATCACCTCCGCGGGCACCAAACCACTGAGGCAGAGCAGAGCACTCTGGGAGCTACAGAGCCGCAAGCAGTTTTCTATGGAAACATCAAAATCTCGCACAGGCAGCCATAATCTTGGCTGCTCCCAGCGGAGTTTTTGACTTAACCTAGCAATCACCTATGCGGCTGTCTTCTCTCTCCCCTGAGAGACGGTGTCCTGCAGTGAAGCCAGGACCTGCCTTAATCCCTGGCACACAGCAAGCGCCCCAAAGATGTTCTGACTGAGGCCATCACAGAAGAGCATAAAAAAAAAAAATCAGATCTGTAGCTCCAAGGTGCCTTTCATCCCGAGAGCCAAGTGATCATCCTTATGCAGGTAGGGCCGCCGGCCACTTCATTCTCATAAACAGACACTGACTCAGACAGGACAATCGCTTTCCCAGAGGCTCCCTGGATACCTCAGAACCACCTCAGGAGGAAAACAACAGCCTGAGAGGACAGCGTAGACTAGCTTTGAGTAACAAGCTTTACCGAAACACCGAAATTCATTTAGAATGGGCTGGGAGTGTCACTCGGTGACAAAGCGTGTGTTTGGCGTGACATATGAGGCCCTGGGTTCAATTCCCAACACCCATAAATTTACTAATAGACCCAACAGGTTGTCACAGCTGTAAAGTGAGCGCGGCAAGATGGAATCCAAAGGACAAGACTGAAACACAAAAGCAAAACAAAACAAAAATGTAACGCTGCCCCACGGGCTGAGAGGGTAAGGGACGGCATGCCAGGTGTGGGGTACTCTGACAGGGTTCTGAGTTCCTACATCCTGAGTGTGGGGGCCGACCAGCAGGCCTGGGATGGATAAGATCCACCATCCACTTGACACTTAAAGAAATAAGCCTCTGGGCAAGTCTTTGAGGGATTATCTGGATTGGGTTCATCCATGCGGGGAAACAAACCTTGAATATGGGCAGGCCCACCTCATGGGGTGGGGGCCTGGATTGAATGAAAAGGAGAACACGAGGTGGGTGCCAGCATATCTCTCTCTCTCTCTCTCTCTCTCTCTCTCTCTCTCTTTCTCTCTCTCTCTCTCTCCCTCTCTCCTTCTGCTTCCTGGTGCAGATACCATGTGACCAGCGGCCTCAAGCACCTGCTGCCATGATAAACTCTATCCTTGAATTTTGAGCCAAAACAAACCAGTCCTTCCCTAAGTTGCTCTTGTTAGGTATTAGTCACAGCGACTCAAAAAGTATCTACTGCGAGGCTCTAACCCAACTGAACCGTACGCCCCTCTCAGGATTCCCCTTTCCTCTCTGAACATCAGATTTCTCGTGTGAAGAGAACATTCTCTTCTAAGAGACCAAGGCTCAATTCTCCTTGGCCATCCACACAGCAGGGAAAGGTCTCATTTGTTCCCAACATGTTTACTAAGCTCATGCTCTGTGCGTGTCCCCATGTTAGGCACCAACATGAGGTCTGGGCAATGCCCTCATGGCTCTTGATTGCTGGAGGGACAGCCACACACAGCTCACTGCAATGCCACCGTCGTGCCAGTCATCTGGGACAGAGGGGACAGGGCTGTGTGTGACTGGGTATGGAGGACGGGTTCCAGGCGACCGCAAGGAGCAGAGACTCAAAGGGGAACTTGCTGTGCACCAGGGGCAGATGAGTAGGAACGGCTTCCCTTGCAGAGAAAACAGCAGCACACACAGACGTCCAGAACCTCAAAGCAGGAGGGTCTAAGGACACTCTTGAGGATGGAGGGAGCCTGGCATGTGAGGGAGGACTGAAGGCTGGCAGAGGTGACAGTCACTGTATGAGCTAAGGGGCACAGCAGGCATGGCTGGGGATGTGGGGAGGCTCTGGGGTCATCCTAGCCAGAGGACAGGCAGCTGTGCTACTTCCTCACTGGGTGTCCCTGAACAAGACTCCTTACGGGTGACAGATTCTATTCATGCTTGGCAAAAGTGATACTGTGTCAGGAGGGTTGAGCTGGCGGAGCATGCACAGAGCACCTGGCATGTACTGAGTTCCCAGGTAAGGCTAGGGTAATGGGCTCGCTGCTCTTAGGGAACGACCCTGCAGGCTGTCCCAGCAGAGACTGTAACAGGAGTGATGATGACGCTCTCAGGTCAAGAACAACAGAGGTAGGTGTGTGCAGAGGGCTACCTGCCGAGGTATGTGAAGGGGCTACCTGGAGCTGCTGAGGTCACAGGGCCGAGGGGCTTGCAACAGATGGTCCCCCAGACCCTCCCCAATTCAGACATTCCATGCCAAGTGACAGCTGGTCATGACAGGTGGGCACACAGTGCTCAAATACACGTATACGGAGTCCATCAATAAGGGCACTCCAATTCAGCCACAAAGCATTCTCTGGACCCCTTTTGGAGGAAACCACTAAAATCTATGTTTTCATTCATTCCCACCTCAGAAGACACCCCCAGGTGGCCGTACCTGCCTGACAAGAGAACTCCACTCAAAGGGAGCTATGCTAGACCCTGCTGCCTGAGAAGGTCAGGTGCTAAACAGTCCTCCTTCAAAAAACAATTGAAATCCACTTCCTGTCCTCACCAAGACTCCAGGGCGTGGCCTACCAAGGGACCTTGAGTGCCAGGCTTTATCCCTGTCCTTGCTACTCTGTGGCCTTACCAAGGCACACTTCCACTTTGGAGCACTCATAGAATCTAGAAGGCTGTCACCCCCAACACACACACACACACACACACACACACACACACACACACACACACCACACAAAGCCAAGCCCACACTAAGAGGGAGGTTGGGGTGAGGGGACACTGACAACATGGAATGAAGTCATTCCTTGCATGAAGAAGGGAGGGGTCTTTTTACAGAGAAAAATGACAAGCCCGAGACTAGAGTGGAGGGGGCTCCTCTGCATGGGCATGGGCAAATGCATCAGTAATGCATTACCTCGCATCCAAGAAGACCCCACCCACACCAACAGTCCCAGGTCCTTTCAAACAATGAGACACCCCCACCCCACCCAGCAGATGAAAGACTCCTTAGACCAGAATCACCCGGCTAAGCTGCAGCAAGCCCAGATTCCGGCGCCAACTAGGCGGGGTCAAGGGGCAGAGGCCCAACAGGTCCCTGGTAGAGCTAATGGACAAGAGGGCCTTTGGGTGCAGAAAGACAAAAGACTACAGCGAACAGGAGACACAGCCTTCCATGTGGGCTGGGGATGCGATCACCGCACACTGCCTCGCGCGCTGGACCAAAGGCCTCTCGAAATCTCACGCCCACACTCCCCGCAGCAGCATTGGGGCCCCCGGGTCTTCCTGGAGAAGGCAGAAGAGTTGCAGAACCACGAAGAGGAAGGAGGAGCTGGGACAATCATCCTGACGGTCAGAGGGAGACAGAGACGCAAAGACACAAGGCTCGGGATTCTGTGGTACCGAAATGAGACTGAGACTTGGGGTCCCGAGAGACAGAGCGCAGGGCCCCGGGGACGCACGGAGGACAGGGAGCACAGGGGGACGCGCGGAGGTGGACACGCGCGGACACTCGCGCGCGCTCCCGGCACTGTCACTCACCCAGGCCGCAGACCTCGCGGCGCAGGTTGAGGCGACCGCGCTCCTCCGCTATGGCGCGCAGCATGTGCTGCAACGAGCGCTCCTCCGCTTCGGCGCCGTCCGCGGGCTCCCGGGAGGCGGCCGGCTGCGCGGACGG